GACCCTGTGTCCCAAATGGTTTCACCGTTCTCTGAATTGCGCCGAGAATTCTTCCAGAAAATAAGGCGGGTGCTCAACATACGACCCAGAAACTAAGAGTATCCACCCCAAGGTTTACGCTACAGCCTGCACAAGCCGTGGAGTCGATTGAGAAAATCATCAGCTGCTTTGTGAATTGGGTGCCATCGAATTACATTGGCATGGGGGGCCTCGGTAGTAAAAGAGCTAAGAAGCACGAGCCCCAAGACACTAAGTGCCCTTAATCTGTGACTGTGGTTCACGGTTCTTATTTCAGCATTTTTTGGGGGTTTACAAATCCGAGATTGTTGAAGGTTTGCCATCAAAAACACGTCGACTACGCTGTATTAGTGGAATCATTTTGTAATAAAGTGCCAAGGTTTCACGAGAATTTAAGGCTAAGGAGACTTTTGAACTCTCCTCTGTTGGACAAGGGAACCTTAGATGATGGTGGCCCGTTTACCCAGTCCGCAGCGTGAAAGAGCAATCTTTAAGAATGGAATTGTAATTACAGGAACTAAACCAGTACTCTCAGTTAGGTGAATCATTAGGTTATCTACAAGGACGTCTATTCTAGTGAGCACCGATCATTTATGACTTTAGTGGCTTCCCTTATCTATCAAAATCCCCAGTTCGACTTTTCCCGACAACTTCAGATTTTCCAAAGTATTTCTTGTTCATTCTCCCCTGTTGTAGATGTGAAGTTCCTAGCAGTTCCTGGACTTTTTTCCCTCCCTCGACTGATTGACAACTTGAGTCATCGGTCCCTTTCACCCCCTCCCCCCACTCTCCCTTTCCTCCCCTTCCCCCACTACTGTTCCTTACTGTTTTTTCAACCGTTCGCTTACATAAATGATGAAGTTCCTGAGCCTCAATCAATCCCTCTGGGGGACATAGGTTAATAGTGCCTCGTAACACTCGAAATTGAAAGGTTTCAGTCATGATTTGCCACAAAAAGATAACCAGCGGAATTCAGGCAGTGCCGATATCGTTGATGAACTTTATCTATGACGTCCGAAGCGAGTCAGCCTTGCGACCGACTAATGAATCCTTCTGGAGCGCCTTTTTCGCCATCGGAAAGATAATGTTACTGGTTGTTCTGGTAAGTAACTTATTTAGTATGAGACTAACATCCCCTACAAACTCTACGAGACAGTACTTCCAGAATATTACCGAGGTTGTTTCCTTGAAGGTGAAATTTCAATTTTGTAATTTTTCAAGAGGTAAAAGTCAGAGGATGTTTCTCCGCCGTCAAGACAGAAAAGGCTGTGGAAAGGTAGTGACAGTTCCGACTTGCAAATGGCGATAGACAAAAATGAAAGCAACGAGTCGCTTCTTTCGTCCGCCCTTTTAACGCAACGACGCAAAGTAGAGATTCATAAGAGAGCGCAGACGCGAAGACAAAGCGGTAGTTTTATCATATGCCTACTTCGACTCTGGAACCTGCCATTTCGAACTCATGAAGGATTCGACTCACTTTCCCCTTTCTCACTACTCTTACCGTCCTGAAAACACAAGTATGTAACGGTGGCGATGGCCTTTAGTGTAGGTCAATTAGTTAGGACCCTACTAATAGGTCGATTGTATCTGAGAAACTACCGATTTCTACCAACTTTTCAACTTCCCAAAGCCATTATCGTTTTTCCTTCAGGTTCTCATAATGTTCGTCCTTGTCTACATGAATTGTTCTCGAATACGACTTCTATATGACCGAAAACGGACACATTACTTCCGCCCTTATTACATTGATCCTCAGGTAAAATTTGAATATCTATTTGTCAATGACATACAAACATCATGGGGTGGAGGTGGTGTAGTGGCAAAAAGGGCACTATTACGCACACATGGTCACGGGTTCAAATTTCGAATCGATACCCGCTTAGACAAACCAAGCCTTTCATCCCTCCGGGGTCGGTTAATTGGTGCCAGGCTCATCTGGGAGGACAAAAGCACTGATTCTTACGTCGGCTAGCCACCACAAGTCATTGTATAGGTCATATACGCATTCAATACGTCACCGCGATTCTGAATAGAAGTCGAACGCGGGGCGCATCCTTCACACCGGATAGAACGACTTTGAAAAAAACTTTAACTTTTTCTATTAGCACCATCGAACTACTTAACTACTTGTAAATTTTTGATGAATGCTACTTCAAGGTCCATGTCTCTCCACTGCATCCATATGTTCAGAAACGAACCGGACGAAGCGGTTTCTACCAAAGCCGCACTAAAGTGATGTGAAAACTTCCCACTAATCTCTTTTTTTCGATGTTTTTCTTACTCAACTGCATCCTCTGTCAAGAAATTTTATTAGCGATGCTTTATTCATATGAATTCTTTCCCAAATTCTCTCTGGTCTCTGCTGAATTGAGTTTTTGTCTCATTTGCCTCAGTGCTGCCTTATCTTATCCAATGAAACGTGTATGTCTCAGAATTACTCTTAAATTATTGATAATTACTCTTACGCAAGTCACTGTAAGATCGGTGTCAAAGGATAATGATGTAGTGGAAGTATGACATAGGTTGCTTTATTCTGAATTGTTTATTTACAGTTCATTTGAGGTGTTATGAACCGGATGTTCATGCCTTCATTATGAACCATATGACACACTTCAGTAGTCTAGGTGCATTGTAACAAAGGTTCCAAATAAATGGTATAATTGTTCCACTGTTCATGTAAAAGCTCATGGCTTCATAGGAGGCTTTCTAGGCATTTTTGAACTCAACAAACCGTGTCGTGGCTTCCGCCCTTGTTAAAGGGCCAC